TATATATATATATATATACAGATCGTATGTAATATAAATAAGCTGTAGAATCAATAGATAACGCTTTGCATGACCTTGCATGTTCGAGTCTCTATCGCTGTATATTTCCAACTATGTAAACTAACTTAAGTTTCACTTGTGACTGCACTGATAAAGCAAGATCATTTCTTTTATTTGTCCTCTTTCGTGAACAAGTACTTTTTTCATTGTAAATGCATATGTTCTTCAATCTCTTAACCTAACCTTTAACCAAGGCTCGTGATTGGCTGTTCGCCAGTGATGTCACACGCGAGTCACACATCAAAGCCTGAGTTGACACAGAAAGTTGATGATCAGCATCATGGTGCCAACAACGCCGGATTGGAGTGGTTTGGTTTTGTCAACTCGAAACTAATCCTGTAACTCTGAATTTGTTCATCTACCATCATGGTACAGGCCCCAGCATCTTGGCAAAATCTAAACCGCTCCAGCAATCACTGACATCTAACATCCACAGGTTCGGCTGAGCATCAGCACTCACACAGTGGTCACGAGCGTGCAGGAAGTCAAAGAGCTCCTCTGTACACTCCTCTGTCGTCTCCGAGCGTGAGCCGATCCGTGTCTCGCACGCCTCGAGACGCTCACGAGTGTGAACGCAATGCTCCGTCTGCTCACACTTCTCACGCACCGTCTCTAACGGGTCCTGAGGAGTAAATATTCAACCATATTCTTCATCAAACTCAGTATGCATGGACATCAAGACATTATGAAGATGCACATAATCTACAGCAGTGCTGTCCAAACTCAGTCCTGTAGGGCCGGTGTCCTGCAGAGTTTAGCTCCAACTTGCCTCAACACACCTGACTGGAAGTTTCTGTGCCTAGTAAGAGCTTGATTAGCATGCTCAGGTGTGTTTAATTAGCTTTCATTTTTGGCTGAACTATCCCTTTAAGACGATGTTCTGTCTTGGGTTGTAAGGATACATGTCAAATTTCTTAAGTTACAATTCTAGGTGGCGCCATAAATTCAGAAAATCATCAAAACTGCACGGCTGTGATGAAGGAAATTCGCATGCCATCTACAGGATCTGCTTTTCAAATGTGAAGATCTTGGCCATCTTCTTCACACACATTATGGAGCCTCATATTTGCTTTTCATTTTTGGCTGAACTATCCCTTTAAGACATGATGTTCTGTCTTGGGTTGTAAGGATACATGTCAAATTTCTTAAGTTACAATTCTAGGTGGCGCCATAAATTCAGAAAATCATCAAAACTGCACGGCTGTGATGAAGGAAATTCGCATGCCATCTACAGGATCTGCTTTTCAAATGTGAAGATCTTGGCCATCTTCTTCACACACATTATGGAGCCTCATATTTGCTGCATGCAGATGCATTTTCTTTTGAATTGGGGTGAAATGACCTTTTCATAAACATTTTCATGAGATATATATAAAAAGGTGTAATTATTGCGAAGATGGTTTAAAAATGAGTATATATAGCCATATATAGTTCTGATTACTGGAATAACCAGAGGTCTTGATCAAGGGCATGACAGTATCCATTAAACTCTTCCGAAGAACTGCTAAATATAATGTTTAATTCATTTGAACTGACTTAGATATAATATTGCTCTATAATACAAGACATACCACCATGTCCTGCTCCTCTTCTTCTTCCTCCTCCTCCTCCTGAACACACCAAAATATATTAATTGGATACATATACATGCATATTATATATACATACATACATACATACATACATAAATAAATAGCATAGCATAGGATACCTAGGATGCGTGTGCTTACTTACACATACAAGACAAATGCAAAATCTCACGCAACAGTTTAGACAGCAGAAGCATAAAATAATAGCTATATGTATATATATATATATATGTGTGTACATGTACATTAGATTCAACGTATAGCTCAGGCTCGGCCCATTAACCAGACCGGTTTTACATAAAGCGGCTTCTTTATACCACATTTAAAGCGCTCTGTAAAACACTATATGCTACTACACCTCCTCTGGCTCTCCATTCGTGATCATTTTATCTTCGAAAACCATGATTTCAGCTGAGTTTTCCCGACGTGACCCTCTGTGGACTGTGATATGCGCCGATGGAGGACAGCGTGACACTTTCCGGAAGTTGTAAGTGTTTATAAAGACTTTTATATGAAGAGAGACGGTCCACCTCTGTCAACTTCCGGTTCATAGTCTCCACCCACCTCAGCCGTAAATAAACATATTTAGAGTCCTGCCATCATCAGTTTGTGCGTAACATTGTGTATTCGACCCTAATACTCAGTTAAGTAATATGACATTTTCACTATATTAAATCCTGCCAGCGTTACATTGTAAACACACAAGGATATCACAGCTTTTCTCCCCGGTTTTGAGCGCAGCTCGTAGTCTTTCTCTTATGAAGGGATCTGATTTCCGCTCGCACAGGAAATGGATGGAAAGTTGGCGCTCTAGTGCGGACAATTCCTTTTGTAGTCTTTAACTGTGGCAGAGTTATTAAAGCCTCACGAGAGTACTTCACACTGAGCAGCAGTCATGGACGGCTTTGAGGTGCAGAAGCTTGTATTAGACATGGATATTAACTGGACGCCGGTGATTGCAGCCACACTTTGCGGTACATGCATTTTCTTTTGAATTGGGGTGAAATGACCTTTTCATAAACATTTTCATGAGATATATATAAAAAGGTGTAATTATTGCGAAGATGGTTTAAAAATGAGTATATATAGCCATATATAGTTCTGATTACTGGAATAACCAGAGGTCTTGATCAAGGGCATGACAGTATCCATTAAACTCTTCCGAAGAACTGCTAAATATAATGTTTAATTCATTTGAACTGACTTAGATATAATATTGCTCTATAATACAAGACATACCACCATGTCCTGCTCCTCTTCTTCTTCCTCCTCCTCCTGAACACACCAAAATATATTAATTGGATACATATACATGCATATTATATATACATACATACATACATACATACATAAATAAATAGCATAGCATAAGATACCTAGGATTCGTGTGCTTACTTACACATACAAGACAAATGCAAAATCTCACGCAACAGTTTAGACAGCAGAAGCATAAAATAATAGCTATATGTATATATATATATATATATGTGTGTACATGTACATTAGATTCAACGTATAGCTCAGGCTCGGCCCATTAACCAGACCGGTTTTACATAAAGCGGCTTCTTTATACCACATTTAAAGCGCTCTGTAAAACACTATATGCTACTACACCTCCTCTGGCTCTCCATTCGTGATCATTTTATCTTCGAAAACCATGATTTCAGCTGAGTTTTCCCGACGTGACCCTCTGTGGACTGTGATATGCGCCGATGGAGGACAGCGTGACACTTTCCGGAAGTTGTAAGTGTTTATAAAGACTTTTATATGAAGAGAGACGGTCCACCTCTGTCAACTTCCGGTTCATAGTCTCCACCCACCTCAGCCGTAAATAAACATATTTAGAGTCCTGCCATCATCAGTTTGTGCGTAACATTGTGTATTCGACCCTAATACTCAGTTAAGTAATATGACATTTTCACTATATTAAATCCTGCCAGCGTTACATTGTAAACACACAAGGATATCACAGCTTTTCTCCCCGGTTTTGAGCGCAGCTCGTAGTCTTTCTCTTATGAAGGGATCTGATTTCCGCTCGCACAGGAAATGGATGGAAAGTTGGCGCTCTAGTGCGGACAATTCCTTTTGTAGTCTTTAACTGTGGCAGAGTTATTAAAGCCTCACGAGAGTACTTCACACTGAGCAGCAGTCATGGACGGCTTTGAGGTGCAGAAGCTTGTATTAGACATGGATATTAACTGGACGCCGGTGATTGCAGCCACACTTTGCGGTACAGGTGCATTATATGTCTTCTTTAAATGGAGAAATAATCAGAAGATTCAGAAGAAAATACTAAACGCACGGAAAAGACGAGATAAGTCAGTTCAACAGGCTGAACAAGCAGTGCAACAATTTAAAATACAGGTATATGCATTGTGTATAGAGTGAGTGTTTATGAATGTGTATTTCTTGTATGCAAATTCTAATGTTGTCACATTATTTGGGGTAAGCTGTTACAATGAAATCTTCTACTACTGCAAAATGTAAACAATCAAGCAGTTTATGAAAATGTAAAAATGAAAGGTGTAACACAAATCCACTTTTTTTTCCATTCTTGTGCTGAACAGATATAATAATTAATACAAGTAAAACGTTAAAGGAATTAAATGCATTTAATAATAATGTGTTACATATATTTATAATCAAATGTAAATACATTGCAATACGTTTAAAACATAGTACAAATCGCTCCAATAAAAATGTGTGGATCTGCCCCACACCGAATAAAAAAGTGAAATTTATTTACTTTTTCTTTTTTTTTAGGTAAATGTAAGATTGGAATTTAGTCAAATTCACTTACTTAAGTTACTAAGTTATGTAAAATTAACAAAGAGAATAAGTAAATTGAACTTGGCCAGTTAGAGTTTGTTGAGTAATTTCTACTTAATCATTATATATTTACTCAAGTATATTTTACTCCGTCTCAAACAGTGTCGCACTGAAATAAGACATGTTATTAAAGCATATGGTTCACTTAGAAACATTTAAGTCAATAAGGCAGTAGATAGCTTGCTATACAGTGGGTACGGAAAGTATTCAGACCCCCTTAAATTTTTCACTTTGTTATATCGCAGCCATTTGCTAAAATCATTTAAGTTAATTTTTTTCCTCATTAATGTACACACAGCACCCCATATTGACAGAAAAACACAGAATTGTTGACATTTTTGCAGATTTATTAAAAAAGAAAAACTGAAATATCACATGGTCCTAAGTATTCAGACCCTTTGCTCAGTATTTAGTAGAAGCACCCTTTTGATCTAATACAGCCATGAGTCTTTTTGGGGTCTCAAACAGTGTCGCACTGAAATAAGACATGTTATTAAAGCATATGGTTCACTTAGAAACATTTAAGTCAATAAGGCAGTAGATAGCTTGCTATACGTCCTATACTTTTCTATAAGATAATATGTCCACACACAATATAATTAATACTTAACCGGACACAGAGACCTCAATACTTGGTACTAGGGCTGTGCAATAAATCAAAATTATCGAAATATCGCAATATGCATATCACTACGGCTTGCAATATTTGGGGCCATGAACAAAAGACACAGAGAAAATCACTCACTGCTCTTACCTAAAGAACTTCTGTAGCTTAAGTAAGAATCAGTGCGTATTGAATTCATAGAGTAAATGTTAACATGACATTTTTATGTAATGCTCGAGTAAAACACTATCGTTCACATTCAGAAGTTGTTGTAGGGGTGCTTTCTTCTCACAAAAAGTGAAACATGTATGCTAGTTATATTAGAATCAGAATGAGCTTTATTCACCACTTAAGTGTGCGCAAACAAGGAATTTGTTGTGGTTTTACAGTCAGTGCGTATTGAATTCATAGAGTAAATGTTAAAATGACATTTTTATGTAATGCTCGAGTAAAACACTATCGTTCACGTTCAGAAGTTGTTGTAGGGGTGCTTTCGTCTCACAAAAAGTGAAACATGTATGCTAGTTATATTAGAATCAGAATGAGCTTTATTCACCACTTAAGTGTGCGCAAACACAAGGAATTTGTTGTGGTTTTACAGGAGCTCTTGATACATGCATACATATAAATAACTATATATATATGACACAAGATAGTTATAGAAGTTCACAGAACTGAGTCAGCAACAGCTGAGGAAAACCGTTTCATCTGAGCATGTGGCACTTTATCGTATCACATATCGCATTATTTAATGAGTTATCGCAAATCGCATTTTTCTTCAATGTCGCACAGCCCTACTTGGTACACAATAAACAATGACGGTAACAATCAGTGGATTGTGTTTGAGTATGAATGGGTCATTCTGAGTAGAAAATCAACTCCAGATATCACAAAACATAAAGCATAGAACAGTGTAAATAGAAACTAGAAAACAATGAAAAATTTGACCTAATTATGATGGGAACACTAGTATCTTTGAATCCTTGTAAACATAACAAACAAGTAAAATATATCTATAAGTCCAAACTTTAATTTCTACAAACCTGATTTGAATACTAATATAGAATTTACTCTTTTTAAAAAAAAAAAATTTATTCTTGCCTGAACTAAACCTGTATTATTTACGTCACCACAGAATAATTTGTATTAGTGCAGTCTGACTTTTATAGAGAATCAGATAAAGATAAAGTCTATCGTCACTAGATTGTTGACTTTTCTGACTGTATGAGAGTGTGGTGTAGTTTTCAGTTTTTACATAACCAATATTACAGTACTGAAATTTTAGTTTAAACTAATTTATCAGATTTAACTAGATGTTTGGAAACCTACTAGAGAAAATAAGCATTTGTGTAATTGGACTTTTGACTCAAAACCGTTTAGTTACTGAGAGTAAGCACCTGTGACAACTAGCCCCGGTCTCCTCTATTATAGATTGATTCAATAAATATCTGATGTTTTTTTCTCTCGCATCTTTCTAGAACCCAGACTTTGAGAGCAGCTCTATAGTGTCTCTGTCTTTGCCTGAGCTCACGGGGAAACTCAAGGACGGCTCCCTGCAGCCAGACGCTGTGCTTTATGCCTTTATGGAAAAGGTTTTGACCGCTGCCATATTTTACATGTGGATAATTTATGAGATTTATGAGTTTATTGCAAGCTTCAGAGGTTTACAATCAATGTTTTAATTGCTATAATTTTGAGACTTTAAGCTGTCCTGTGCAGTCTATTCTATAAAACATTTACTAATAGTTTGAATCATATTTTTATTTATATTATAAATGTCAGCTATAGTATTATTAAACAATATCTCCTCTTAAAAGAGGATGAGCAGTAATATATTATTAGAAATGAAACCTATAGCAATTATGGTGTTGTTGAACAACTGATTAATACATTTTAATTCACTTGTACATAATATGTGACCACAAAACCAGTCATAAGGGTCAATTTTTTTGAAATTGAGATTTATACATCATCTGAATAAATATGCTTTCCGTTGATGTATGTTTGTTAGGATAGGACAATATTTGGCTGAGATACAACTATTTGAAAATCTGAAATCTGAGGGTGCAAAAAAAAAAAAAATCTAAATATTGAGAAAATTGACTTTAAA